AAAAYRTTGSCAGRTTTACTTAACGCTTTCAAGTACTAAAGAAGATGAATCCTGTATGACTTCACATGTGATGGAAATTCATCTTTGTTTTTTTTAGAAGTGTGGGGGGAAGTCATAGGAAGAGAGAGGTGATTTCCTCAAAACTGCTCAGTTGTCACACATCTCCTTTCTGGTTTTGCTTTTACATTTTAACGTGTCAGCTTTTTCCTCTTACTTTGTGGAAAAGCTGTCAAAAACAGTAGGACTAGATAAAGAGATGTCAGATATACAAGCACAACACAAAAATAAAGGAGAATCTAGAAATACAACAAGCAAAATCTGAAGCTATAATAATATTAGTACATAAAGCATTCAGAGAGCAGAGTGCAACTTCACATATTAAATACACAAATCATTCATGATTTGTTACTGCAGTTGCTGCAAGATTCAGTCTCTGTCTAGGACGTGCTATTCATTCAGAGAACAGTTGCTGCTAAATGCTGTAATTAGAGATTGGGGATAAAGGGAAATCAGCTGGAAACTGCTTTTCTGGTCCCGCTCGTTGCTGCTGGAAGCCTCAGCACGGGAGCCCTTTTAACAGACTGCAGCAGTGAGGGACTGTTTTCTCTTATGGAACTGGGTTGCCTCTTGCTCATGTACATACTTGTTATGAAGCAACTGCAGGCTGCCTATTGTCTACATTTAAGAAAGCTTAAAAATGGTGTATTGCAACAAGTGTTTGCAAATAGAAACCTAGAGAATGTTTTTACTGTTAGCAGATGCTTAGTGGATTGTAGTCATTTAGAAAATGTATATTACCAGTAGGGAAACATCCACTGTATCCATGAGGCTGTGGAGCTGTATTGGCAGTTACTTATCGCTTCCTTATTTCTTAAATGTAGTTAAACTGATTTTCCTGCTATTTTTCTTCATGGCTTTGTCATTTGCATTTTTTAATGGTCTTCACAGCAAAGCTTTGAAAGGCAGTCCTGGGAGTTGAAAGCTGCGTTTGCCTTTGGAGCGCAGCGTGCTGTCAGCTGAAACACATCATAACTCCTCTACCCAAACAGTCCCACACTTTTGTGCTTGGTTTTTAATTACCTTCCATGTTCTCACAGAAGCATGGTGCAAAATGACCTTTAAAGCTAAACAGACCAGTTTCATTAGTTAATTCTTGAAGTTTCAGGATGCAAGAAAGTTCATTTTAATTGTAAATGATACCTTTTATAATGTGTCTGCCAACATGCCCTTCTGTACTGCTTGTTACCTGCTGTTCTCTGTCACAGTCACGCAACTGTATTGCTCTTTCATGAGGAGCAGCCAGGGCTTCTAACATCCTTTTCCCTGTTTAACTCCCCGCTCTGATTCCATCTGCTGAGCTGCCCACAGGTGGTGTTCTCTGTGACAGTTCTAATGAACACAGTTGTGCTGCTTAGAACCTGTTCTAGGCCAGAAACACTCTAGGCCACGCTGGGGTTTGRGTAAATGTGCACAAATCCTAGTCCTTTGCAAGAGAGAGACAGTTACCACTGTGACAAGCAGTGCTCTGGAAGGAAATAAAGCACCTAAGCAAGGGGTGCTGCGGGGCCTGCAAGGCAGGGCACCCTAGTGATCCCAGCAGCTCCTCTCCCCCTTTTCTCTCCGGAGACCATCTCGTCCTAGCCAGGCACGGCCGCAGGGTCATATGGTCCTGTGCTGCTCCAGCCCAGCTCTTAGGAAGGTCCTTTTTCCACCCTTAGCTGCGATACCACCTTCCTATGCACAAACATTTTTAAGCCAGAGTAAAAGTTTCACAAGTAGATGCAAAAGATCAGGAACTTGTGCATGTTAAGGATATAGTAGTGAGTACAACCAGGGTGTTCCTACCTTGCCTTAAGCAGTGGAATGTCTTTCTGAGTACTGCTCTTGGACCTCTCCAAATCCTTATTCTTTTTCTGTCTCTGAAATACAACGTGCAGTCCTTTTATTCACATTTCTGGCTTCAACAAGAGGCTCACTTGGATTATACAACAGACCTAACAGGATTTAATTTCACTCCTTTTAGAAATCCCAGATATTGTGAACACGAAGCACCTGAAATTTTTCAGGTAAGCTTTCATTATCATTACTTCATTATTGTGCAGAACGCTATCTCTGAAGTTGGCATGTTATAACTTCTTGCTTTTAATAAAAATGATTTATGTAAGAACTATGAAGAACTTTTTTTTTCTCCTTGTTTGAAAAAGATTACAAATGATATTTTGGGGTTTTTTGGTACTATTTCTGTTTTTCTATAACAGCTAACCTTTACTGAATTAAGCTTTCCTAGTGCACTGGTTATTCTTSAACGCAGTTACATGAGGGGCTAGCAGGTAGCCATAGATCAGAGCAGGTCTAGCGTGCGTGTGATCTTGGTTCTGCAGACTGAGCATCTAAATAAAGAAACTTAGCTAAGCTCCTTTTCTATTGCTTGCAAGACTGGGAGTTTAGTCTGCCAAACCTGACCCAGGTGGCCTAAAGAGGATAGAAATAATCAGTGTAAATGAAGCCAGCTATACTTTTTTTTTTTTTAAATCAGAATGTCAAATCTGAATTTAAATTCTTCATAGAGAAGTTACAGGTGCTGCATTGAGTGTACAAGATGCAATTGTTGGAGGTCATTTACGCTGCAGCAGAGCTGAGAAGCAGCAACCTCAACTTAGAAAAACAAACTCACCTTGAGGGAGCGTCTTCAGAGAAGAGGGGAGGTCGCTCTGCTGCTCTCTTGCTGTCTGCCTTGTTGGTTGTTTTCCATCACAGCACGGGATTTCTCTTTTTCCTTTAAGAGAATGGGATGGTGATCTGAAGAAACTGCCAAACATTAAAATGAAGAAGTTCTCAGCTAAGGATGCTGCTTGTAGCCACCCTGAGGGGGCAGATGTGGAATGTAAAGAAGAACCAAATAAAGGAGAAGAGGTGGTTTAATGAGCACCAGCTGATCTCAAAGTTGGAACAGCTGAAGGGAATCAGAAGAAACCTATTTTAACAAGCACTAGAAACACAAATAAAGCTGACATTCCCAATTATATTTGCAAAGGCTTTTCTGGTTGCGTTTTTGATTACCTCACTGTGTCCCTATGTTAGAGAACAAACTTTCAGCAAACAGTGAGGGGAAAAACTTGAGAATGTAAAGCCTGAAATCGTGCATGTGTTTTTGCTGCTTCTCACATTGTACCTGCTCTTCAGGATGCAGACTCCTAAGCTGAGGAGGAAATCACAGTTTGTGTCGTGAGATCCTGCGTGCAGCGCTGCCTCTCTCTCCCATGTGTGTAGAGCACTCACGATTCAGGCAGGAGTTGTCCTGGGAGGAAGCCTTTAGCTTTTCCTCTTAATGGTGTGAATATGGATGGCAGGTAAGGGTTGTCTTTAATCACTGACTGAGCTAGTGACACCTTTATGCCCCTCTTGCCTGGGCTGCCTTTAGGCAYGTGCAATTTTGCAGCGAGAGGCCACAGCCTTGTTTCACTAATGGGAGCAAGTGCCGCGTGTCATGGACCAGGCAAGCTGGACTGGGGAAAAACTTTTCCCTTTGGTGAAAATGTATATTCAGACACGCAGCGTCAGTTCATTGCTACGAACTCGTAGCTTTTGTGGTCGTATGTAGCAGCCACAGTTCAAATGTCTATTGCTAAGGGTAGGAATAACTGTTCCCCACTGATGATCTTCATGGGCTTGGGCCTCAGTGCAGTTGTGTGGGGTGTACAAGAAAGCCTTCTCTTGGTAAGTATATAGATATATAAATGTGTGTGTGTTATTATTATGTCTGTGCCTGAAGTGATAGTCGAAATAATTAAAAATATTTGACTATCTTGTTGATCTGATGTAGAGGTAGGGGAAAAAAAACCAGCTTCTGGCTGTGAACTAATTCTGATYGAATTATAAGCAGAATTGCTACATATTTGGCAAGTGTTTGTAGTTGGATTTACCAACTACCTGGCCTTAAGCTGATCGTGTACAAGAGCAGCTTACCAGAAAACCAGAGTGTTTTGTTTTGCTCTGTTTTTCCACAATACCCATAGTGGCAAGGGGAAAGAAAAAACCCAGAGCTTGATTTTTGTTTGTCTACTTACTTGATTTCCATGATGAGGAATTTGCCTGAGAGCTTTTATGCTGGGAAGGACACTGTTTTGCCCCAGATTCTTACCTATGTTTTTTTAATGCATTCTTCTTCTTTTTCCCCAGCTCTTGAAATGTAATAAACTCTAGAGGTAAATTGGCACTTGAAGGAGATTCTCTAAAGTCTGAACTTTCTTCTAGACTGATTTATGCTTTTGACTGCATTCTTCAGGGTTCCTGTAAGTAACAATCTTACTTTTGAGAGCCATTCAGMTGTTGTTGGTGTCTTTTCTCTGAGTGTATATTAATAAAAGCCATCTAAATCTTGTTCCTTTACTTTTAACTCTTTGCCATTCGYGAACCACTATTAAAGCTGCAGGAACCTATTTTATCTTTGAGACATATGTGTACATGACATAATAATCCATATACAACATTACTTCATTATAGCCTTATCTCTTCAACTTAAGTGTGTATAAAGTCTCAAGGCATTTTAGCTATAGYGTAGTTCTGAAGAAAGAAATAAGGTGCCTTTTATTGAAGCAGCAGAACCTAAAGGAACTGGAACAGAAGCTATCCTGTGTGTCAGACAGGCTGAACAGTTTCCTGGATGGCTTTCTAGAGAAGTTTTCCCCTGCTAAAAAGGGACCTAACCTATGTTAGATTAGGTAACACGCTTGACCAGGAGGTTGATCCTGCCCTCTCTTTGTTGGCTGTGCGCCAGTCGAGTGCAGGTGAATTACAGAATCTCTGTGTTACCCTTGAGCTGTTCATAAACCAGAGGGAGGGCGGGCACCAAACTAGCCGGGGTTAGAACTCTGCCACTGTCACCTGGATGTCACCTGCAAGGCATGAGCCACATGGCCAGCGTGGGTGAGAAGCAGAACTCCCTGGGGACCCAGCAGCACCACGAGGGCACGGGGACCGCCCTGGGGACAGTGTCATGGGGCACGGAGGGGATCATGTAGCAAATATTCCCAGAAGGCTGAAGCAAAATGATGGGTGCAGATCACTACAGAGATCACTCCTTTTAGGTCATTTCTTTAATACAAATACAATTTTTTCCACAACAAATAAGCAAGATAGATTACTTCTGTTACCCTTTCCTTCCGTCTTTCAGTACACATTCACCCACAAAAACATGTATTTTTCCTTTTGCAAAAGAGAAGGGAGTTGAACAAGAAACACAAACTTGTAGTTTCAAATATTACACACAGTAAAACCTTTTCATCATAAAGTCACTTCCCTTGCAGTATTAGCAATTAGAAATGATTTGTTCTGGTGAGGGGGAGAGAACGCTGCTTTTCCACAGGACAGGACAGGACACGCTGCCGTGCAGCCTGGCAGGGCGGGAATGGCACCACCGGGGGAGCTGCAGCCCTCTGGAACGCTGCCCAGAGACACCCCTAGCATGTTCAGGCCAGCTGCAAATACTCCTAATGCTGATAACTGAGTAAATCAGGAAAAGAAAGATGCATGTTCACGTGCTGAAAGCATCTGGTGTAAACATCTCCATCTTACCTTAGACCAGGTTTATTTCCACCTACCTTCATTAAAGCTTTGCTTTAGTCCACTACGTTCTGCTTTGGATGCACTGGGGCTCCAGGGGCAGCTCTGTACTGACCTTCATTAGCTCTAACACTGCACACTTCATTAAAACATCTTTGAAGATACCTTAAAGCTTGTAGGTACTGGGCTTTGTGCAGCTAAGCTTTGTGYCTGGCCCGTGCACCTTCCTGCATCGTGCAGACCTGCACCCAGGACACCATGAGGATGACAGCAGCTTCTCCTCTTGAAGAGGAGCCCTCAGGAGGCAAATTCTTGCCTAGTGGGAGGTCCCTAAAGCCCTAGACTAAAGTCTAATCCCTGGACGATCCCCGGCACCCCGCAGGAGGGAGGGGGTGCATGGGGTAACACTGTAATGCTTCTAGACTGCCTCAAGCCTTCCTCTTTGCAGGCAGCACCTTATTTTGCTTCTTTTCCCACAAATAAATATTTCAAAGGGAGAGAAGGGAAATTTCAACTGAGGTTTTCCTGGAAGCTCAGTTGCACAAGTGCCAAAATAGTGTCATGAAGTTGAAGCTGCTGGTATAAAATCATTTTGCAAGTTGTGTGTTCTGTTGCTGACTGCAGTATATTTTAAAAAATATATGGGCAGGAGTCCTGTTGGATGCCACAGATTTGCTTTCACAAGCCTCAAGTATTCTTTCTTTCATTTGAAATTTATACTCGGTCAGTGAACCTGCGAGATAGGGGATAAAGTGCTTGCTACAGGATCGTGGTGCTACAGCAGGCCAAGGAGCAAGCGGCTAGAAAAGGGAATAATTTTGTTTAAATGAACAGAAAATAGTCAGAAATCATCTGCTGAGAAACATTTCCATTGCCTTTCATGATGTTAATGCTGTGATTCATTTGGGTTTGTTGTAAATATGTATCCAAACATTTAAATGTGCCTAATAATTGCACTTTTAGAAAGCCAGGCCTTTGTAGAGGATCTGAAGTACCTGCAGGTACTGGGCTTTTCTTGGCACTGTCCCGGCCTGCTGAACACCTTCGGGAGCTTCTTCCACAGTTACAAAGCCAGGATGGATTTGGCTCCTCTCATACACCAAAGGAGAAGCTGTCACAATTCTCATTATGCAACTGTATAATTGGAAAGTTATTTTATAGGTAAAGCAGATGTCATTATTTGAAAAGACTTCAAAATTAATCCAGCCCAGCTGGAGCAACTGAGGACAAATGCTAACAGGCAGTGAGGGCCTGTTCAAGCACCAAGACCTCATACACTGTCTAGCCAAGTGACAGTCACTTACCACAGCCAAACAATGTTACCAGTTCCAAACCCGGGAACACAAGGAGCTGGTAGCAGATACAAATGCTGCCTCGGTTCGTGCTCCGGCTTAAAGCCGGCATAAACATGTTCACAAAGGAATGCTTAATATATAAATTCCAGTACCCATTAGGCCCAGCATCCTCAATAATTCTGTTGTTACAGAAAACTGGATGTCGAATGAGTCAATTTATCCTTAGAAACCGCCAGACTTCTGCAGCGGACTCTGCCAGTTAGGGCCGATTTGCCCCTGTGAATGAACCCGTGTCTCACCAGCCTTCCCTGGCTCTTTGGTTGCTGGTGAGTTCCTCGCTTTCCCCGCCGCCCCTTGTCCAATGGCAAGATCAAAAGGGAGCTTCCAGCATTTGTTGTTACATCCAGGCCCCAGCCTTGTCCAAGGCGGCACGAAGCAGCTCCGAGTCGCCGCTGGCTGTCGCGTCCTGGTGGTCGACATCACAGGCAGGGAAAACGAATCACCAAAGGGCTCGGTGCGGAGCTCACCCTGTCGGACACAGCTTTGTATCTACATTCAATTAGCTATTGCACTTCTTAATGCTATTGACACCTCATTTTTACATGAGAATGCTGAAAACAAAAAACTGTTGAACTGCTCTAACACCTCAAGTTTGCCCTTGTACAGCAAGAAACCATTGATTCACTTTTCAGCCACTTGAGGGAAATAAAAACTAAAATTCTCTTCAGATAGCTAGTTATGTTCTCTTACACCTACACTCTGTCTCATGGATCTTAAAAAAAATAATAATAATAACTTTCATCTTCCCTATTTGTTTTCCTTTCCCAGACCTTCAGTACCTTCAATTTAAATTGACGTGATCCTGCAGTAAACTTCATTTTTATCTTACAGCTTTACTTTAAAAYGTTGTATATCAAGTTTAAGAAAGAGATTTCTAATTCGCTTTTACAAAGTAAAAGAAGCAGCCGAGCTGCTGCTCCAGGTGGGTATCTGCAGATTCTCCCTCACGTTACCTCAGGCCTGGGGAGCGTTCGCTGGGTCTCTTCAGTAACGTATGGAACGGGACTCGTGGTGTTTTGAGGTGCATCTCTGAGAAGATAACGAGCAAATTAGACCCGTAGCAGTAACAAATGGGTGAGAGGTTTYTGTTTGCTGTAAACAAAACGGTTAGGTCTGTTTCTACTTTCCCAGTTATCCTCTTTTTTTTTCCCAAAAAAAAAAGAAAAAAGTCATCTTGTCACCTTGGTTTGGCAGTGTCTGTTGAACGTGTTCCCTATTGCACTGTCTACACTCGCACTTTCACTACACTTGGCTGACTAGTAGAGAAACTACTTCACAAAGGCTCACGCTCCATACAGTAAGAAGCCGCTCGGCGGGGCCCGTTCCCGTGCCGCGGTCCTGCTTTCCGTGCTGCTGGGAGCCCAGGGAAGGGGCGCCCGGTGGCTGCAGCGCCCGGGGCGCGGGCGGCAAGGCGGACGCGCCGCCGGCCCCTCACACGGGCAGCACCCCGGGCGTCACCTCGGGCGGCGCGGTGGTCCCCGGCGGCGCCGGTGCCGCGGCCTCCTTGGCGGCGGGGCCCGCGGGCGGCTTCTCCTCCAGCTTCTTGGCAGTGTCCGGGCAGTTCTGCACGAAGATGACGCGGTTGTAGGCCTTGAGGCGGCGCCACAGCTGCACGTAGACCTTGCACTGCACGTACATGAAGACGAGGCCGCCCGTGAAGCCGATGGCCACCACCACGAGCTTCGTCCAGAACGGCCACTCCAGGACACCTGTGAGACACAAGGATTACCTTCAGTACTGCTGCTATATACATATATACATATATACATAGCTGCAAGTGACGTTTTGGTGTAGCAGTATCCCCAGAATGCCCAGGTCTGCCCGTGCCATCGGCAGCTGCAGCCCCAGTGCAGAAGGTAGCAGGGAGCCCCCACTCCTACCTTAAAGCAGCAGGCCAGCCAAGAGACGTCTGGCCCCAGCCTCCAACTGGGGCCACCCCAACGGGCTTAAGACAGAAATTCAAGGCCGTGGCAGAAGTGCTATCCTTGATACAGCTGAGAAATGCGTGTTTTGCTGTTCTGCAGTAATACCCCCTTAGCTCATAGTTTGCTCAAGTGCACATACAGGTATCAAAACTGAGGTAACCAGATGCTGCACACACCCTTAGCAGCGGGTTTTCCTCTTGGTAGAAAGCAGGGCACTCTATAGGATTCCTATAGCAGCTGTGGGGCAGCATCGTTCGTASCACTCTTTCTCTGGCCATGTGCTCGCTGTGAAGCGGAGGAGCAGCAGCAGATCGGGCCCAAAGGGCTGGTTCTACCTGCTCAACCATCTGCCTTCCCTGGCCTTTACAGTCTGGCCTATCCCCCTGAGTTGGTTTAACAGATAGGTTTGTGCACACTTACTTATTTGTGTCAAATGCTTCCCCAAGGGAAAAAAAAAATCATTTAAATAATTTTAAATACTGATTATTAACTTTATGCAGTTTTAATAGACAGTAATATCCTTGGCTTTCTCCTACAAATACTCTAAAGTCTTTTTGCTCCAGTTTTCACTGTCTTKCTGTGTAACAGTAAATATTCATGTTACCGGTTAAGTTGTGCTTATCCACAGCCCACACTTTTCTCCTTTTTAATGGATGCTGTGATTTATGTTTTACTCATAAATAGAACTTCAAAGCCATCCCTACTGCTGTCCCCAGGGCAAGGTTTTGGAGATGAAAAACAGGGTTGCTATTTAGAAAGCCAGCAAAACAAGGCCCTGTGTTATATATTCATCTGCAACGACTTCCTGAGGCTGCTTGTTGCCTCTTTCCCTCTCATTGGCGGGAAAGGCAGAGTTCAGGAGCAGCAGCAAATATTTATCTAATGAGACGGCACCAAGTTCTGCCTGTTTCGTTTCCTGTGTTAACTTCAGTGTGGAGCACAAAGGTAGAGGCCTTTGTCTCTCTGCTGCCTAATTCCTAAAGTCAATTCAGATCAAAAAGGTAAAGCTGCTTTTTGCTCATCTTCAGCAACATCCTCATCACTGTTAGCATTTGAGACCAAATATCCTCAAGTCTCACACAGAAATGAGGTGGGAGCCTGTAGGTCAGTCTGCAGTATACTTGACCCACGCAATTTAGTGGGAAAAGAAACCCRTATCTGCTAAAGGTACATTCTCAAATATAACATACAGAGCCCGCAGTTTTCCTTCCCAAGTACATATATCATTATTTTAACTTCTCAGGTTTTGTAAACAATAAATTGTTTACAATGTGTTGTTTACATAAATATATGTCCTCACAAGGGTTGCTTTGTGAGTGCCCTCACGTGGCACACTCAAATCTGCTACATTGAGAAAGAGAAATTGAGGCTAGCGGGAYGCAAGGGGTTAGACTGTTGCCTTGCTGGGCCCCTGAAGTAAAAGCTCCCAAGAAAGTTTGAACGCTGAATCCTTTCTTCCATTGGAATGTTCAATTTTATCATTTTTAACTGAATATTTGGAAGCGATAAAGCAGTGTTCTGATTTTCAATATATAAAAGGCCTTTGGTATCTGAAAGGGGCTAAGGCAACTAAATGAAACACATTTTTACTGCTTCTGCTTTGTTAATAGACTTACTCTGCTATAAATTGTACTAGCGGGATAATAAATTACTCCTACATTAATGAAGTTCCTGTACCCAGTAGGCATAATGAGGCTGAAATCCTGTTTGTGGCATCCACAGGGACTGCTTTATTACTGGTAATTAACAAGTAATTTGTTTCTAAAGCTCTTCCAAGAACTCACCTTCCCTCTCTGCCCTCTCCCTGTCTTCCCCCTTTCCAAGTTTTCTTGGGAAGCCCGGCTGGAGCCAGGGCAGCCACAGTTCAAAAGGGAGGTTCTCTGTGCTCCTGAATTCCCACACCAGGGACTGACACAGCTGCAGGGGCATCTCCTGGCATTCCCATTGGGAAGCTGCCTGTTGGAAGGGCCCTGTTCTCTCCTGCAGGGTGATCCAAACAAACTGAACACCAACATGCTGGGCGCTTGGATTCTCACCCATCTTTTAGTCAGACCTTTAGAGATACCCAGGAAACAGGATCTCCAACGAGGAGCAGCCGGCAGGCGAGTTTCCCAGTGAGATACGTGAGACAGCGACTGGTCGCACAACTGCAAACCCACCCCTGCACTGCGAACAAGACTGGAGGTGGTCAATAAAATACCTACCATTGTCATTGCCTTGTTTAATTTCCTCTGCYGTTCTGTCGATTAAGACGTACAGGGACCAGACGACACAGGTAATAGCGATTACATGGAATGTGACGGAACAGACTATTTTCCTCCTCTCACTTGTTGTCATCTGTAGTTTCTCCCACTGCAACAAAAATAATAATGAAAATAAAGGGAGGGAAATACAAGCTTGTCAAATTTTACTAGAAGCCAATTAGGCCGCGCTGTCTCTTTCCACCCGAAAAGCAAGTGATTTGTAAAACTACAAACCCCTTTACATTGATAGCATCCTAAATAGCAGGACATGTAGACCTCACTTGCACTGATTTCCTGAATGCAGAAGGAGGAAGAGGAGTTCTACTTCTGCCTGCTTCTGAGCAGCACCTACTATCATTTCTTTGCAGTATAATCCTAACAGATTAATAGACAAGTAAAAAAGATGTATGTTTTAACCCAATGTGCGCTTTTGGTGATGACAGAACTAAAYACCAGAACATTTTCATGCAATACTGAACTGTTCTGCCCTAAAACGTGCGCCTTGGAACACTAGGGAAAGGCCATTTAAAGGGTAGCTAGAGGCCGAGCGCCCCGTTGGGCGGGATGCCGAGTCCCGGAAAATTGTCCCTCAGATATGGTGCAGGCTGGTGCAGATTTTGGAAGCAGGCTGAAGGAGGGCTTGTTTGTCACTTTTTCCCTGATTTGGTGCACACTGAGCAACCCATCTGCTCCCCTCGTGTCTTCCCCAATGAGCTTCCCGAAATCCCGCGCTTGCACCGCGCCGCACAGGCCACTGGATGGAGGCAGGAGACCGCACAGCTCCTCACGGAGCGCCTGCCACGCACGCGCAAAGGAACGAAAATACCATCATGAAYCTGATCCAAACCATTCACCGAAACACAGATGGGACTAAACCTCACTAGCTTTGTGGATTAAAAAATACAAGAAATACAGTGTGCATTACCTCTTTCATACACCTTCTGAAACATCTTCCCACCCCAACTACTACTTAGAGTTACCTTTGGGGTGATGCATGCCTTAGCGTGAGCTCCGGCATTTCATTTCCTGAAAGTTTGTCCTGAACCTTGGACAATTTGCAACCTATGTTTTCTGTTTCTTGAAGACTATCTCGCTCTGAAACCTAAAGGAAAACAGTTACTGATTTTAGAACTAGAATTACATAATGTGGTCTTTCAGAGGAAGAAAAAAAAGAAAAGGAAGAAAAATAGCTGACTACTTCCCTTTCCCGTAAAAGAGCCCAGAGCACATCCCTGGCATCTGCTTTAGAGGGCCCAACTTGCCTGCTCGCCTRTTACTGCCAACAAACAAACCCACAGTTCATCAATATCACTACAGCACAAGGAAACAGGGGCACTCCCCAACACCCTCTGAAGATCTGCGTGTTTGGGGATGCTCCTCCATTTCCTACAGACACCAATAAAGGTAGAAATCTACCTGCAATATATGCAACCCCTGGGTCTCCACCGCTGGCGGCGGAGCGGCAGGGCGGCACCGGGCCGGGCAGGCCGCGCTGCGCCCCGCGCGAGGAGCGGCCTCCGCTTGAAACGACACGCGTGTCCTGGGGGCATCTGCAAACTAAAGGCACCTGCACGCACGTGACAGGAGTGCCCAGGGCGCCACTGCACAGTGAAACATTTCTCTTTGGTAAACACCTCACGATGGGAATTTCTATAAAAATAAGCATACCTCTATTTCTTTTTTAAATGACAGCTGAAAGAGCTGGACCTGAGTAATATGATCAATACCTATCAATACATATCAATACGCACTCTTCAGAAACTTCCGGAATTTTACACCATGTCTGCCATCAATTAGTACAAGCTTAAAACCTGCGAAATGGGCGTATTAAGCAATTTGAGCACATCCTTTCTAAAATTAAATTGCTGTTTTGCAGTCTGGAAGTACYGTTGAGAATATGAGTCACTTGCCAACTATGAGCACTGCAATACCCGCATCCTRATTCCAACTCAGATCCCAATGTACTAATGCCACACTTTGGAAACGCAGGAGTCGACAGGCCTGCTGTCCCTCCATCCCCTGTTATGCCTCAGACAGAGGCCGAGGACAGCGGCTTCGGAGAAGAATGCAAGAAAGACTGCAAGAACCCCCATGACGAGTAATTATAGACTATTCTCTCCATACTGGAAGCTTCCTCATAGCTCCCACCTGCTAGAAATTATTTTATCACAAAACACAGAATCCAAAAGTATTCCTCAAAGCTTTTACTTGCCAGGTATCCTCTCTGAATGTTCCTCCAACATTAATCAATTTTCTGTTCAACAGAGGCCTAGGTGATCAGTTGTAGGCACTATCTCTTTGGTAAATATGTCTTTCTTTTCTTGTCTTTTGTGCAAGTTTGTCGGGAAAAAGGAGGAGAGAGGGAGGAAGGGAAGAAAGAAAAAGCATCAGAAGCTGCCAGTATGGTAGTTTTAGCCACTATGATAACGTTACCTATAAAAACAATCCTGATAGAACCCACAAAAGCCAAAAATGAAATATCAAAACACTGATAAGGAAATTCACTGACTCAGTAGAAAATGTCTTAAAATCATTGCCCAGGTCTCTAGGAAAATCATCTTGGCCAAAAACTGAAAGCACACATACAAACAAAACACCCTCAGCCTAACGCCCAACCCAACACCCAACGTGCGGGTCATAGTTTGGCTGCCGGTATTTCCTTTCCCACCAAGCYGAGAGGGTTGCTGCGTTTTGTGGTTTCCCCTCTCCGGGCAATCCCAGAGCAGCTGTGACACGTGCGCAGGCTGGATTTGACATGGACTGTGCCAGGGCCAAAGAGGCCTCAGGAACCTCCTCCACCACAGCAGTCATCTCCCGACACGTAGGGTCTGCTGTAGCCCTCACACCTGGGCATCTCTCAGTGGTCCCTGTCTGTCTTTGACCAACCCACAGCAATACAACTCAATCTCCCCCACCAGTCCGAGTTGCTACGAACACTTCACATGTCCTCGCGTGCCAATACTGGGTAGTTACWGATACATTTTAGTTTAGCCACATCTAGACATCCCTTTGCAGCTCCATATGCCCTGCACACTCGCGTCTGATCTACCACATTCCCAAGACTTAGAAAAAAGGAGCTGACATGCTTCATTATCAATAAACATGACTTCAGCAAACCTGACTGACTTCCCAATGAACAGCTACTATTACTGCCTCTGTCTTTCAGTTTTCCCACAAGAGACACTCTTTTGATCCAATTAAATAACAATGAAATAGTTGAAATCTGTGCTACATTAATTAACATCAAACTACAGCGTAGGGCTCTGGTGAAGAGCTGAGGGAGGCTATTCTCTCTGCAGACCTCCAACAAATGTCACACATTCCAACTTTGTCACATACCATTGCAGCAGATGAATAAAGTAAGATTTTAAATTCCTGGAGAGGGCTTTTTTTTTTTTTTCCCCCCCCAAAGTGATTTGAATAAAATGCTGCAGGGGAAAGATAAGTCAACACTAAAAATCATAAAATATACAGCCTAACTTCTGCTAATTATCCCCTTTGATGGTAATTCAGATCGAGTACCATATGCACCATGGCCAGGCCATCCAGGAGGGCCACTCTTTGCACCAATGTGCGAGCAGCAGCTGGTGAACAAAACCTCGGTTCATTTCATACGCAGGTCGTATCACAGTTCTCAGGTAAAACTAATTTGATGTTGCTGAAACGCTGTGAAATTGTGCGTATTAGTGATGTGGCAGGTTAAGAGACGCATTTTCTTTAGTAGTAAAGTCAGTAGCAAGGGATTTTGCTCATTAGTTTCAAAGGTAGAKCTGACCAGCTGCGCGCCCACAGCTGTTGTGAGGCCGAGCTATAAAAGACAACACTGAAATGATCAAAATCAAAAAAAAAGTGAGAATGAAGCCTCAATTACTTAATAATAATAATAAAAAAGCAGCATGATGGGGTAGTAAAATGTCCTCTAAGTAAAAAAGACACGCATTTTTTGCTGGAAATGCAAGTGGCACCTGTAATACAGCTCAAAGCAATGCTGTTGTAGCGGCTTGGGAATTGCCCTGGTTTCTGCTGTGAATGCCCGGGCACGGCAGTGCACTTCTTGGATCACATCACCTGGATGATTTCAGGGAGCACAAAAGCATTTGCASCCACTGGAGCTCATGTGGACAGCATCACTAATACCATAAGCTGGGCAATCTCCTGAATTCCCTTTATTTTTGTAAATGTTAGTGCTCGGCAGCAGAAGAAAATTTGGTTACAGGCAGCTAATTAGAAGAGGAAACAGCTTCCATTTCATTGTCTCCAAGAAGATTTTTTGTTTGTTTCTTTAAAAAGMAGTTCAGAGGAGACAACCCCCCCGAGGGGCACCCTGTTCCCTGCCAGGAAGGCGGCCGTGCACAGCGAGCTCTCCCTGACCTCAGCAGCACGTCGCCGTTGTAGCAGGGTGACTTGCGGGGAGCCCAAGGGTGTCCTAGGGCAGTTTCAAGGTGTGAGACACCAGGGCTCAGCAGTGCTGGTCAGAAAGCCATGCAAGTTGGAACAGCTCTGGGAGAAACAGCTGGGCTGAATGGAAGAAACAGGGAATTAGCAAACAGAGAGCAAGAGCTCCCCACGCYGCCGAGGTGCCTGACACCCCTCACCACAAGAGACGGCTTGAGGCTGGCAGTGCTTAGGGAAGCAGCCTGCTCCCAGAGGGAACCACGGGAGCAGGTTGCCTTGGCAACGCTCCCCCAGAAACAGTGGGAAGCGCTGGCTCTCCCGCGTGATCAGGCCCGAAAGGTTGGCACCAAATGGGGCTAAAAGGGCTGATCCYGGAGCAGGTCGCTGCCCCCTGACCTTCACAGCACTGGCTATCGCTCCTCAACACGAGCATCATTGGGAAGGGGATGGAAAAGGCGGCTGGTTTCACCCGCCAGGGCCACGGGAAGCAAAGAGCAGGCGACGGAGCAGGGGCGGCTGCTCCTTTCCCGGGGGATTCCATGGGTCGGCTGCTCCGCAGGGAGGACAGAATTCCCAACAGAGATGGGTTTGAGCTCACAGCAGCAATTCGGCAAGAGGCCTCTGCAGGGAGCACCACTTTCAGGAGCCAACACGACACACTTGTACAGGGGTGTCATACAAACTATCCAAGGGCAGCGGGCACTTAACCAAAAA